CACAAACTGTTTTGTGAAAACGTAGAAAGTTTTAAATATTTTTCCCCAATGACTAATTTTGAATTCGACCACTGACAAAATGGCTGACAGTGAGACCCCGCCCAATCTGCTCATCCCCAAAATATTTTTAATTCAATTTACTCCAAAACCTAGCCAATTTTCCATCATGGCGTCTGTGCTACAAACAGAGAGGTTACGTTACAGCTATCTGATTGGCCGCAGCTCGACAGTGGCGCCACCCCGTGCGCCTCAGTTACTAGTCAAGTCGATCACGTGTCTACGAGTGCATTCTACGACAAAGAATCCTAAGAAACGTATCGGGAACGCGATAAAGTGCTAGCTACTCGCTATAACGCAGCTGCCTATTGTTTCTCGAGGAACAGCTCAAAAGAAAAAGCGTATTTTTGCGCTTGGAGCGCCACATAGTACCCAATACCGCCGTTTTAACCTGTGAGACCACCTCGAGTCTTTCATTTCCATCGCACGGCTCCCCCTCCCCGGTTTCCATGCGTGATCGGAGATGGAGAAAAAGGCACGGCGAGTTTGCCGGGTAAAAAGGTTTCCGGCGAAAAGAGACGGGCAGGGGAACGGTTCTCGGTCTCGGCCGTTTCGAGCCTCGACTCGATAAATTTTCATGATCGGACCTCGTAAATGAATCGCCGGTAAAAACGGACGAAGACGTGTACGGTAATTGACGACATTAATGTCCGGAATGCCGTAAAAGCGAGCGCGAAATGAAATACGACGTTTCTCGGGGCCGAGCCGCGTTCCGCTTTTGGTTCGCCGCGCCGCCAACAAATTATACCGCCGGACGAGACGCCATTTTTCTTTTCTCCCTTTTTCCCGCGCGGCCCGCGAGACCGAGAGGAGCACGGGGATACAGAGGAGCGGGTGCACACGAAAGGGAAAGGGTACGGAGGCAGAGATAGAGAGACAGAGAGAGAGAGAGAGTGCCTTCGAAGGAGAGAAAAATCGGGATATTTACAATGGCGGTCACGATCGGGCTACGAGAAAACGGGAAATTCAAATCGGCCGATCGCCGCGATGAATATGGATGCCGGCCGGCGCAAGAAAAACACGACGGAGAGATCTTTGTGATGCAAATTCCGCGACAGTCCTTGTCTTTATTAATATCGAGGATGTGTTTTCGACGCCGAGCACCGTCGTTCCGCCATGGGGAGCGAGAGGGAGAAAGAGACAGCGGGAGAATAAAAAGTTCCGTTTACTTTATTCTTTTTATATCTATAAATAATATATATATATATAATATAAAGGTTCGTATGAGTCTATCTATTTATTTCCAAAGTTATTTTTTAAACAATTTTTGACAATTCTGCCATTATATGGTGGTGCTCTCTCATGTCACATAGAAAAATATATGGAATTTCATTTAGGAAGTTCAAGGTCACGTTCATTTCCGAAAAATAATGTATATATGTAAAATTGATATACACTGACATATTGGTTATGAAAAAGAAAAAAAAAAAAAAAGAATTGTGAAACCTTTTACTCTTTCACTTTTTTTAATCACTATAGTTCTCGAAAAATTGCTGACTAACAAGAGAGCAAACACCCTGTGCAATGACATACAGAATACATTCTCTCACCCCCTTTTCCATTATAAATATTTTTACATATATAACGAGATATAAAATATACATATATATTTATATATTTCTTTTTTGAAGGGTTCTTCTGTCATTATATATATATATATATAAGAAGAATAAAGTAATTTGAATTTTTCATTTCCTTTCTCCTTCTCTTCCATTAGAAATATTTTTACATATATAATGAAATATAAAATATATGTATATATGTATTTCTTTTTTGAGGGGTTCTTTTGTCGCTTCTTTTTTTCCTTTTTCTTTGGTTCAGCCAAATTTAATTCTCGATATCAAGCGAACCACTTTTACATTCTATTTCTGTTTGTTTGCTGAGCAAACAGATCACGCGGGACCATTAACGGGCAGCAGAGAGCATTACGTACGGAGGGATAGATCGGTGGCACACTAGCGCCATTTTTCTGTCGGCTCTCGCGGCGAAATCCTGTTAAGATATCGCCGGAGGGGCGACGTAATCGCGTTCCGTCAAAGAGAGCCGCGAGAAACGTAATTTTTCCGTGCAAACAATGAGACGCGACATCAAACGGACGACGGAACAACATAACCTCAAACGCCGGGGCTCTCGGCGTCCTGCGCGACCGAACTATTTCGGGCATTAGAGGTTTAGAGAGAAAGAGCCCGAGGGCGACCCAGATAATCCTGTTGACGGGGACCAAGGTTCGGCAAAACGGGAATACTTCGGCCGAATTTCGCTTTAAATACGCTGCGGATTTCCCGCCCACGGGTGTTTCCCTTTTTCCGACAGTTTCCAGTTTCGCATTCGGTTTTTGAGGTTAGATTGCCCTCGGTCTTTAATCTTTCCCACCCGTGATACGCGTATTCCGTGCAAATTTATGGGAATAATATCGCATTTTAGCGAAAGGTGATGCTCGTAAATTGCAGGTTATGCTCGGAAATTATAGGTTATGTCACATCGATGTTTAAAGGTTACGTCGAGTGGATATTTTCTCGCATTCTGAACCACCTGCGCGCGCTCGTATGAAATTAAAATGGACACTTCTCGATGGAATTCTATTACATAATGGCGGCAGGAAAATAAGTTCCAGCGTTCTAATATTTTAATACATTGTTAATTAACATGTCCATTTTCCATGGAAAATATCCCCGACCTCGTAAATATTCAAATCCAACGAGAACTCGTTAGGAAAAAATTCATAATGGGATGCATAAATATCGATGGTAATTTCGACGAAAAAAGAAAATAAAATTTCCGTTATATCGAAATCATTTTACCCGATCGCTATACGAATTGTTAATCAACAATAAATCCGACTAAACCGAGCATTAAAAAACCCCATTAACTCATTGGCGTCGACTCATTTGCCGATTTCAATAAATTTGTTATTTTATGATGAAATAAGGTATATATTATTTTCAAAAAAGAATACCCTCCGTTCAATTTTAACTTTAATTCTGCATCAAACTCTACATCTAATGACAGCTCTGAAAACGAGTGGAAACGTTCGTTTATTTACATTTGTTTGAAGATCAACTCCAACGACCCTGAAGACTCGCATATATTTACCCCAATAGGGCTAATATACCCCATTTACTCCGAATCTATCAAAAATACATACAGGGTGTCCCAAAATGCACGCAAGATTTGAATTTTACGCCACTCGTGTGACAAAGCGTTGCCAACGGGGGAAAAAGACAGGATGACAGTTTACAGGTTAGGGTTATCAAAAATGGCGCGCTACATGAAAGAACAACTGAACAACTTTACTATTCTGCAATATTTCTAATTTTTAATTAAAATCCTATGAAAGTTTTCTGCCAAAATTACTTCTTGCGTGAATTTCGAGGAAATATTGTTTTAATGCAATATTATTTTCTGTCGAAGAAGAAGAAAATATTATTCGCTCAATTTCAATTTTCTCTGCATTTGAGTCTAACCCTGCCTCTAATAACATGTCTGAAAATAAGCAAAAGCATTCATCCCCTTAAATTTGATTCTAGCCCCAAGTCCAAAATGACTCCAATCCCACACATGTACCCCTCCCCCTCCCCAAATCCATCAAAAGTACATATTATTTTCAGTCAAAGAAGAGGAAGAAGAAAAAGATTTAAGAAACCCGTGAATTTGACGGACAGGTTGCTCCAATTAAACAACGGTAACAGATTTAGTTAACTTACATTACCACTGTCAACATTGTAATTGTCTTTAAATTAAACTAATCATTAAAAAAAGAAAAGACACGTGGTTTCCTTTACCTGTAAATTTGACAGGTGTCCAATGATGAATCAATAATCTTATACAATAAATAACACACAATTAAATAATAATAATTTAATTCATAAACTAAAAAATTTACTATATATTAATAACGATAATAAAATAAAGTTTCATTACAATTATTAAATATTAATCAATTTTATTGAATATCAAGGTAGTAATTCTCATTTTATAATAATTTTAAAAAAATGAAAATTACTACCCTGATAATAATTAATATATTAGGAAAATTTATTAACATTCAATAATTTTGTCTACATAATCATTCATACCTATGTAGAAACAGGTACACGAACAGCGTCCGTAAACCTAGTGTCAAATCCAATTCACCCCCAACCCCGAGAGCCCAAAGTCCCGACAAATCCATCAAGGTGCACCGCTAAATCCATGAAAAAGGAAAAAAGAAAAAATCACGAAGTCGGAAACCCGAAGGATCCCTTACAACAGACCCGAGACGAGTCTATCCCCGTGACACGCGTCCCCAAAAGCCGAAGAAGCTTGCCACCCTTGTTCCCCGGAGGGCGCCGAGAGCAATGCGCTCAATAATTCGCAATAAAGGGCCGCTGGCAGCCGGGTGCTGGTATCTTCCCCTGGTCGAAAGTCGCCGGAAGATACCCTGCTCTCTCTCTCGCTCTCTCCCTCTGCCGTCCAATTTGCATGTTATTACCTTGTTTACATATTTATTCAATAGCCCGGATCCCCGGGGAATCGTCCGCCTAATCCCGGCCACCCCGTCCCTTTAATTTCGGATTAAGGGTCACGCGCGGAACCGCCGAGCCGAGCGATTAGTAAGTCTCCGCACGGATATTGGCTGGTCGTGCGCGTTCCGCAACGCGCTCGTACCCTCTCCAGCGCGCGCGCGTTCGCGCGTCATGAATGGAAACATAAATTTCAGCGAAGCACGCCGGGCTATCGCGCGTTAAGTCAACGAAGTAATTACTATACCGGTGTGTGCTCCGGCTACCGGCGCACACGCGCGTGTAAAACAGCCACGCGCGCGCGTGTTCGCGGTGCGAGATCCGCAGAGAGAGAGAGAGAGAGATGGGAGAGTGTGGGTACGACTCCGCGGCTCCTATCGGCGCGCGCGGTTCGATGATGTTCATTTGAAATTCAAATGAACGCGCCGAGGCAAGGCTTACCTGTTTATGCATTTCCACGTTCAGCCCGTAGGACATCTCGTAATACTGGAAGAATGAAAAAAAAGGCGATATATTAGACGTGAGAGATATAAAGCGAGAGGAGAGGAGAGAGGAAGCGTGCTGGTACAAGCGTTAACGCGACGCTCGCGCCGCGTGAAAGCGGTCCTCCGCGCGCCAGCGCCGCGGAAAACGTGAGCGACATGGCGAACGTTTCGAAACGAAGCAATGGACGGGATATGTGGAGGGCTCGTTGTGTGCTATCGAAACCGAGGCAGGCAGTTTCGAGGAATTTATATGGGGGGGAGAGTGAGACAGAGAGAGAGAGATTGCGAGTGTACGTGTTAAGGGTACATGCAAGGTTGTAGTCTGGTTTAGAAAATTGTTTTTCTTTTTTTTTTATGTATGTATATTTTTGGAAAGTGTGTGGCTTGGGAAATGTCTGTGTGAGGGGATTTGATCGAATTTGTAAAATTAGCAAGGTTATGGATATATTGTATAGGGTATGGGTACAGGGAATTATGGTATGTTGTGTATAGGGGTGGTACAATATGTAAAATATATAGTTCATTTATTAAAATTGTTGAACTTATGTTTGGAATTTCATTTTGAACACCATAATAAAATTAATATAAAAATATATTATAACATATAACATATAAAAATTATTATTTTTGTTTGGAAAATTGATTTTTTATATATATATTTTCTCAGAATGTATGACTACGAAAATGTCTGTGTGAAGGGATTCGATCGAATTTGTAAAATTAGCAAGGTTATGGATATATTGTATAGGGTATGGGTACAGGGAATTATGGTATGTTGTATATAGGAGTTGTACAATATGTAAAATATATAGTTCATTTATTAAAATTGTTGAACTTATGTTTGGAATTTCATTTTGAACGCCATAATAAAATTAATATAAAAATATATTATAACATATAGCATATAAAAATTATTATTTTTGTTTAGAAAATTGTTTTTTTATGTATATATTTTCTCAGAATGTATGACTACGAAAATGTCTGTGTGAAGGGATTTGTTTGAATTTGTAAAATTGGCAAAGGTATGGGTATTTAACGTGTGACTTACGGGGGTAAGTACTGTATATATAAAATATATTACTGTACATATAAAATATATGGTTCATTTATTAAAATTATTGAACCGATGTTTGAAACTTCATTCTACACGCCATAACAAAATTAATATAAAAATATATTATTATATTTTATATAATATAAAATATAATAATATAAAAATATATTATAACATATAACATATAAAAATTATCATTTTTCTCTTGTTCTTTTGGAGGGGGTTTTGATTTTAATTTTGGTTTTGATTTTTGGTTTTCGAGTGCTGCGTTTGTGTTTCCTTCGACCGATCACTTTAACCATTTTCATGTGAAAGAGACATATTTAAGTGATAGGTGGTTGTAAGATTTATATATAAACCGTACGAATATATTAATTAATAATATCTCGATACGCTGAATTTTTTTTGCAACCACAGGTATACAGGGTGTCCCATTCGAAGTTTCGAAGAATCGATAAATTTACAATATACATCAAATACATAATCCAATTACATAAAACAGAGAAAAAGAATACATATAGTTTTATTGAAAGAAATCTCGGTCTGAATTTTAATTTTGGAAGGAAAATTTGAAAAAATTGATCACCATTATGTAAGTTTCATTGGAAACATTTTTTAAAAATAAACTATAGTTTAAAAAATGAACGAGTGGGAAGCTTCAAATAGGACACCCTGTATACCTGTGGTTACAAAAAAATTCAGCGTATCGAGATATTATTAATTATAAATTATATTATATTAAATTATAAATAAATTTTCGAGATATTATTCAAATTTTTGAATATTGATTTCTCTTATTACAGTTTAATTTAAAATGCATCATTTTACAAATTTTTCTTTTTTTTTATTTGAGCGTGTATTTATACTACCGAATATTTATATCGTATGTTATGCCACTCAGTTAACGAATAAATTACAATTTTTCGCAAATTGCAACAATGCGGTGTTTTCCCTTACAAGCACGAACGTTTTTCGTATGAAACTTGGCCTGGGAGTAAAAATTATAAACCTTATTTACATTACATCTATAGAATCTGTTTTTCCTTGCAATAAATGCTGCTTTTTCACTATATTAATTACAACGAAATGGAGTTCATATTTGTAATTGTAAATTATTATATTTGCCGCGCAGTAAATACCGGTATATCATAAATAAAAGCATTCGATATTACATACAATATTACATCCGCAGGAAAATAATTTATCACCTAATGTGTTTCCCTGTGTATCGTAAGATTCTTTCTTTTTTCAATAAATAATTAAATTTTCGATTTGCAGTCGAACGGAACGACCTGTGCGACATCATTTTAATTAGTATCATTTAGGTATGTCACGTTTACACGTGTCGTGTCAGTAGGTCCAGTGTTAACATGCAACCAATTACCTGACTGAAAATTATGCAACGTTAAGATTTATCACAGGTTCCCAACCGGGGAACTATACCTAACTACTATACCTAACTATTCTAAAACGAAATTTCCTACCAATTCGATAATTTCTGCAAAAATTGAATAGGCCAAAGCCAGTGCACACATTTGCTCTATCACAGTCTTCCACAGCAAAGTGATTCATCTCCCAGGCACAAATATGCACACCTACAACTCTAGTTCCTTTATTCACTTGTCAAAGGCAAATAGCAGTTTGGATCATTATCTATCGTTCTAAATCATCGCACCACTAGGACACTTCCTATTACTAGCCCTGGCAAAAGGTTTCTGGTGAAATTCTCTAGCCCTGATGTAAGTAGAGAATATATTGGTGCACACGGGGCATAGGTTTCAACGATGTGTATTATTAGCTTGGTGAGCACAATGTTAATGAATCCCTTTTTAAGAAGAGTAATATTCTTATAAGCAGAGTGGAATGTTAAAGAAAAGTGAAGGGGTCCTTAGGTTTCATGTACAACCCTATTCTTGGTTAGAGTTGTGGTGTCATGTGCAAGATTTGATGAGTCTCCTAGTCGTCATAGAGGTATTGTAGTGAGTGACCTAGTCGTCATAGGTATTCTGACGAGTAACCTAGTTGTTGGAGGTACTCTGATGAGTATCCTAATCACTATAGATATTCTGATGAGTATTCTAGTCGCCACAGGGGTATTTTGATGAATATCCTAGATGTCACAAGTATTCTGATGAATGTCCTAGTCATCATAGGGGTACTGTGGTGAATGACCTAGTTGTCATAGATATTCTGACGAGTAACCTAGTCGTTACAGGTACTCTGGTGAGTATCCTAGTCATTACTGATTTTCTGATGAGTATTCTAGTCGTCACAGGGGTATTCTGATGAATATCCTAGACGTCATAAGTATTCTCACGAGTAACCTAGTCGTTACAGGTATTCTTGGTCAGAGTTATGGTGTCAGATGCCAAGCTTGAAGAATGTCCTAGTCGTCACAAGTATTCTGACGAATGTCCTAGTTGTTACAGGTATTCTTAGTCAGAATTGTGGTGTCATGCCAAGTTTGAAAAGTATCTTAGTCGTCACAAGCATTCTGATGAACATCCTAATCATCGCAAGTATTCTTGATCAGAGTTGTGGTGTCACATGCCAAGTTAGAAGAGTGTCCTAGTCGTCAGAAGTATTTTAGATTAGGAATTTTGAGTCAAATATAAAATTTGACGAGTGTGCTATTGGTCACAACAGCGTAGCACATGGTGCAGTGTTAAATTATAACATGTGATAGTCATTATTCTCTCCTGAACAAACTACTCTTCACGTTCTTCGAAACCTACGTCTCATCCTTGCACCTATAATCCTTACAAATGATTGCTACAGCAATCTTAGATAATTTCCTATCACCGTGTTTAACCGAAACATTGTTGCCACTGACACTAGCAAAAAGCTAACAACCCGATAAGAACACTGTCGCCTCCGAAGTAGCCTGACAACTGGCCAACTCGGTTCCCCAGCTCAGGGACAGTCCCTTCTTTTTCTCACAGCAGTCCGCGACTAAAGGATTAATTGCCTTCACCGACGTGCATATCGATCTTGATACCCGGTTATGCAGGACGATCGAGATAAAACGAATTTGTGCCAAGAGAGTCCCGGACGATAAATAATTTCGCTTGGCGTGCAACGCGGACGAGAGGAGAGCGAGAAAAAAGGCGGAGAAAGGCAGGAGAAAAAACGAAAAGGAAATGTGTTGCACAGGTCGATCGTATTCAGCTGCAACTTATTATGCAACGCGTGATTCAATTGCACCGGATCGGTCGGATCTCGGCGGTGAAACGAGTAGCCAGATGATCTCGACCATCGATCTTCCTTGGCTAATGGAACGCACCTCGTATTAACGCGATCCTCTATACAACCGTAATTCCCGGAACCATGTACGTGTCGTGGAATTCCAGCCGGGCCCAACGGGCCCAGCCTTGGCTAACAGGCACAGGTCCCAAATAGCAATGCTGACTGTTGCTTAGAATTCCACGCGGCACCAAAGTTTGTAAAACCAAAATTACGTGTAAATTATGCACACTGTTCTTAAGCATCTCCTGACGTCCAAAATTTCATCCAGGTTCAACAGGCCCAGGCTTGGCTAACAGATAAAGGTCCCAAATTGCAAAGCTGACTTTTTCCTAGGAATCTAAGCGAGACCAGAGTTTGTAAAACCAAAACTACGTGTAAATTATGCATTTTGTTGTGATGCAACTCTCCTGGCGTCCGAAATTCTATCCAGGTCCAGCAGGCCCAGCCTTGACTAACAAGTAGAAGTCCCAAATCGCAAGGATGACTTTTCCTTAGAATTCCACGCGGAACGAAAGTTTGGGAAACCGAAACTACGTGTAAATTATGCATTTTGTTCTCATGCACCTCGTGACATCTAACAGGGACAGCTCTCATGAGGTCTGAGAACTAGGAAGTTCTCAAGTTCACCATAAATAATTCTTTTCTTGGAAATAAACTATACACGCGTGATGATAATTCGAATGGAACGATGAAAATAAATA